TCTTAAAAAATTTTGAAAAAATTTCTCAAAACTATAAACAAAAAATAAACAAATTTTGTGACTTACTGTTTTTCTGTAAAGTTGATAGTATTTGAGTAAAAAATTATAGAAAATCAATATTCAGTGATAATTTTTAGTAATTAATATTTTATTAATTATTGCGAAAATTATATTGCTAGAATTTTCTCGTTACTTATTAAATACCCTGTATTTATACATACACATATATATATATATATATTTATATATGTGTGTGTGTGTATATATGTGCGTGCGTGCGTGCGTGCGTGTGTGTGTAAATATATAAATAATATATGTAAATAGGAGATGTAACTTTATCACTTTCGGTCCCAAGTTTAAATAAAAAGAAAGAGGGTATTTCGTCATTTATTGTTTTTTAAGAGAACTTTATTATTGCCAATTATCAATATATTACAAACGATATAAATTGAATTTAAAAATACGAAATGATTTGTAAAGACGATTAGTTGGAAAGCAATAATTAATGTATTATCGTATTTTCAAGTTTTCAGATTTTTCATGAGCTTATTAATTTTTTTATAACAAATATCCAATCCTAATGAAAAATATAATCTAATTAACGTTTTATGGTGCAATACATATTACTCGCATTTAATTCAATTTGGAATCAATTTCTATATCAATATAATAATTGATAGTGATTTTATAACGATACGAATAAGGACTTTATTCACTTTATTTCAATGTACCAATTTTTCCTTAAGTCTGGCGTTATTATATGATTATTTTCAATTCCTACGAAGTGAAATACATAAGAAAACATAGAAATAAAACGATTCCCGAGTGGTGGCGAAACTCTTGAAAACTTTTTAATCAAGATTTCAATTAAATATTAATTTTTTGCTAGCGTTAATATTTGCCGTATCACTTACCACCGTACCAAAATTTTTTTTCACAAATTTCTGGTCGGATCAAATTTTCTGGTGGATTGGGAATATTATCCACGATGGCACAGATAACGTTGAGAATGATGGTAACTCCCCATGCATAGCTCGAATATATTATAAGCTTCTTTTTTTCATAATGGTTTCCTCCTCTTCGATGCGAACGAAGTTCTCTATAAAATGAGATTTATGTTTAGTCAAAATTAAATTATTATCCAATACATAATACATGCGTTTGAAAATAAAAATATCTTATCTCTCTCTTTAAAATTAAAGCTTTGTGAAATAATAATCATAAAAACTTACAACACGCACACTCTTATATCCCTATAGGCGCATAATATTATTTAATATTAAGTAATATTTTAGGCATATTCTTACAATATTAAATGTAACATTTTAAGAATATTTTACTAAAATTATATAATATTAAACAACTTAAAGAGTAAAATGTAAGGGGAAGTAGGAGTCAGCGCGATACTCGGTGCGCAAGTATAACAGTAGAAATATTTATAAGTTTATTTTTAATATAAAATATAACAAGTTAGTATAAAGTCCATATGTATTTCGACTTACTTCAAGTCATTCTCAACGAAATTAATATAATTCAATTCAGTATAAGTAATGCATCAACTATCCAACATCACAAAGAGATTCCTTAGCTTTATCCCAGTTTACTAGCCAGAAAAAAACAAGTAATTCTTATAAAATGAAGCTAAGAATGAGAATGTCATAAATATAAATGTGAAATTATTTTTGAAAAAAAAAACAACAAGAAGAAAGTAGATTGACACTCATTGAATTGATGCAACTTGTACGTACAAACACAGTAGTCAATCAATTGAATATAATACTTATTTTAATAATTAGATGAAGTAACAAGAGTGATCCAAATAAATTTTGTCGTCAAAAAGAAATGTAATAGTTATTCACTCTTCGATTACACAGAGACAAATTTAACATGTGTCACCGCCGATATAAGCACCGACCCGAAACAATCGAAAGTATACTTGTAAACATTAATTTTTAAATAGTATTCAAAACTGACGTATAGGTATGATCTAAAAATTCAGTATCTGTTTGGAAATTTAAACTTCTTTTTTGTATTTTTATATGCAATATTTCAGATGTTAATCTTTTGTTGTAATTCTTTTCTATATCCAAAACTTGCACGTTGCCTCAATTGAATTCATGGTCAAATTGTAACCTGTGGTCTGCAATGACCACAAATGAGAAGCCATCTTTCTTCTAATGTAATTTCAGTGTTCAGAAATACGTGTATGTAATTGATGGCTAGTTTGTGCTACATAAGAAGCCTCGTAATTATATGGAGTGAGAAACAGCGGAACAGAAAAAGAACGGAAAAGACAAATGTGGTGGAGGTTAATCAATCAGAACAATTCCGTTACGTTTTTTCGTAGCTGGATTTCACATGATGAGAAAAATTTTGACGGGATCGGAACGGAATAACCTCAATACGGCGATAACATATCAATCCGTCAGCATGGTAAAGTATTTATTATAATATATATGCAAAATATTGGAGAATTGGTAATTATATACATTAATGGATACCGCGCTGATGATCTTGACCTTGATGATCTTGACATATGTTGTTTTAGGTGGCGGTCGTCCTTTGTTAAAAAATTAACAAAAAAAAGTTCAACTATATAATACGAGAATTCCCTGCTTTAAAATATGTTTGATAGCCGTGCATTTTACAATAAACTTTCATAATTTTTTGAAATATTTGAATTACAAAAATTCTTTAAATATTGTAAAGAAAATGAAATAGAATGCGTGGAGTTTCTTTTTATTTCCATTTCACCAGTTAAGAATATGTACAAAATAAACGTATCTGCATAAAGTATAAAATATATATTTGCGAAAAAGTATAAAATATATGTGCATACACGTAAACTTTAAAATATACGTATACCTGTACATAAAACATTTACAATTAAGTATATAATAATAATTGTATAAAATTATATATAATACAAAATATACATTGATTAGTTTTTTGTGCATTTTTTAAATTTATATTACAAATTGTATTTCATATTATATTCAATAATAATAAACGAATTATTTTTAATAATAGTTGCAAATATTGTACATTGCGCTGCAACATTGCTACGACATTACAGCGCAATCTTGCTGAAGGCGGACATTTTCATGATGCTATGACATTACATAGCAAATAGGTTGCGCAATTTATTTGCAATATTACAACATTGCAATAAGATATATCTGTAATCTTTCTATGCTGTATGAGTTATGTGCCTATAAGGATAATATATATTATAAGATTTTACAAATCTTGCAGCATTGTTACAGAGTAGTAGAGTCATTAAGAAACATTTTGGTTTTTGAGTAATGAACTGTTGTCACATGTGGAAACATACGTCAATTACGCGTTATATGATTGTTAATTATTTCCATTAATATTATGGCTTCTGCACACTGGACGCGAAAACACTTGCCGCGCGGCAAGCATTTCCGCGTCCAGTGTGTGGGAGCTATTAGGAATAATAAGATCTGCTTTTTATTGCTGCATTCTGAACCGGCGCAATAACTCATACAGCACCGATTAATGCGGAATATTTTCAATCTTTCATATCTCGTGTGCAATAATTCTGAAAGGAATGTCATATGAAATGTTTTAACAGAAATATTTATAAAATTTATATAGTTTAAATTCAATTTATACAATAAATTGAAAAACATATTTAAACGGAACAAAAAATCATCATTTAATGTTAAAATGGCTCCAAAATGTTTGCTAAAAGTTATTTTTTTATCAATCACAATTCAGTTTAACGTCATTTTGATGTTATTGTGATTTTGATGTTATTATGATTTTGTTCTACTTTAATTACGAAAAACTTTTGTATATGAATAATAATATGTGAAAACTGCAGGTAATTTTTTAATAGTAATTATGTATATGTACTTATGAATATAATGTGATTAATTAATCAATTTTAAGTACTTCAGAAATGATATTTAAATATACAGAGTGTCCAAAAAGTTCCAGGACGGCTAAATAACTCCTCAGAAAAACGTTATCGAGAAAAACAAAAGTTGTAAGATTTAACAAGATTTATTGATCTTATCAGTTTGACCTTGGATAGCGTCGCCAAGATCATGTCATAGTCGATTTTTTTTAACAGAACATCTTACTTTAGATAGCAAAATCTAATAGCTGGTGTCAAGAGCTTTTCAAAACATTGTAATAAAGTTATTTTTCATTAAATACTTTTCGAATTATAATGCGAGGTCTACAATAGAAGTTGTAGCTTTACTAATCATAGTCGATTATTCTTCTAATATTCGACTGTGATTGGTTAACGACTTAAGACTCTACGACTGCTATGACTTATATTGTAAACTTCGCATAAGATTTGAAAGTTACAATACCGACGGCATTATCATTACGTAAGATGTCTGACTGACGACTAAAACCTCTTGAATATTATTCAGGATCATGTTCTGGATAATACGAGTATTACAAATAAAAAAAAATACTTAATGAAAAATATCCTGCATAAAGTGTAAAATATATATCTACATGTGTAAAATTTAAAAAATATATATACCTGCGTACAAAAATATATAGGAAAGAGCGGGCATGAAAAAAATCTTTTTTTTTCAAAATATGAAAAAAAATGTAACCTGGTTAAGTAAATATAATCGCTTTCTTACTTAGTTGTGCTAATTTATTGTATATAAGATCTATTTAACAGAAAAATAATATTTGATCATTATCAGAGATTTAATCATCATTTTTCATGAACAAGAAATTCAGCTTTTTTCAAACAACGTGGTTTTGAAAAAATCATTATTCCTGTTTCTAGCATTACCTGTTTTGAAAGAGCCAAGTACTAAATTATATAAGCTTTAATGCAAATAAAATCAAAACGTCCTTTAATAAATATTACTTTTAGAAAATTAATAAATGTGTGAAAAATGGAAAATATAATATTTCTAATTAAAAACATTTATTACAAATGGAATGAAAATTTCCTTTATTGCCACATTAAATATGAACTCAGTCAGAATACAATTTGCACTGATACTAGTCTTATTTACTTCAGAATAATCTATTAAACATGACTGAAATAGTGAAATATGAAAGTTGAGTCGGTATAATGCTTCAGTATAATTTAACGTAGCAGCAACATAACCTAGAAGCAAAATGCTGTTTTATAAAAGAACAGAACAAAAATACACGAAAATCTGTTCACTTACAATAAATATGCACAAGAATGCTCCTCAAAGAGAGAGATTGCATCTGAAGACAATCTTGTACAGAAATGTTCTGACAGAATCATATATTGACGCCACGCGACGATGACCGAGCGAACGAAAATGAACTGATCATCGGTACAATATATTTCAAAAAAGTACTGACGTACTAAAATTGCCTGAATTGTACTAAAACAGTAGAAAGTCAATTGTACTCAAAAGAACGTCTCTGAATATGCAATGAAAGAGCCAGGCAAAGTAATAATAGAACTGGCTTTTTCATAGCTTATCTCAATACCGGCTCTTTCATAACATTATGCGAAAAAAATCTAATCACAGATTACCTGATAAACCAAAATAAATAAAGAATTTGTAATTCCATTCTTAGTTACGTTAATGTATGTAGTATTCGATAAAAAAAATACTTTTTCTAAAAGCTAATCGCAAATAAATGAAAAGACTTAGAAATTTAACTCAAGAAACGTACTTTCTGTACTAATAATTTTGCATCTCTCATTTTGGCAACGCCGTTTTGACGATGACTATCAAAAGTTTATGGATGACGTAGATTTAGTACTGTTATCATATAAAATTATTTTTAAATTTTTGACGATATTTAATGAGTTGAAATACGAAATGGTTCTTTCAAAACATGTCTCTTTCATGCCCACTCTCTCCTATACCTGCATATAAAATTTGCAATTAAGTATAAAATATAATAATTATAATATAAAATATTATATATATTAATTAGTTCTTTTTCTCATTTTTTTTATTTATATCACAAATTGTATTTCAAATTATATTTAGTAATAATAAAAGAATTATTTTTAATAATAGTTTAATAATAATGCGCAATTTATTTGCAATATTACAACATTACAATGAGGTATGTCTGCAATCATTTTGCAATTTTTCTATGCTGTATGGGACGTGATATTCATGAATTTTCGTAAATAAAAAATCACATACTAATTTGGAACAATCGTGATTTACATGTTTTAATTACATGATTTCATCATGTAACATAATTGTGACATGATTTTTTTCAGTACCTAGACACGCTGTGATTGGTTGTCAATTTTTTAAAAGTAATGGAAAGGTAATGAAAAGTTACTTTTTCGAGTAATGGTGGAGTTTCGGTAACTGTAAGTTTGCTTTTAAAAATCGGTAATTAGTAATAATAACTTATTACTTTTAAAAAGTAACTTTCCATTCCCTGGTGAATACTGTACATAACATTACTTCCCAGAGAAATGACAATGGAATCGACTCAATCGACATCAAATCGATGTTGATTTGACATCGATTCTATTGTTCATTTCTTACTGAGTTGCGTACTCTGATGAAAAAATTTTGCTGAAATTATTCTACGTTTTGGAACATTCCAGCAAAATTGCTGAAAATTTGCTGAAATTTTATTGAAAATAAAATTTTCAGCTAATATAGAAAAATCGCTGAAATTTCTCTGAAGATAAACTGAAATTTCTTCAAAATTTTGCTGAAATTTTGCTGAAAATGAATTTTTCTAAAAATCGCTGAAATTAAATTAAAATTTTTTAAAAATGCTGAAATTTTGCTAAAAAAAACGTGAAATAATTTTAGTGAAATTTTTCCACCAGGGTATAATCAATGACGGAAGTGAAAAGATGTGCTCATTAGGAGCGACGCTCTTACACACAGTTCAATTGCACACATCACTCACATTGCCCCGTTCCTAATAATTTTTCACTGCTTCATTAATGAGATTATATTATTTTAAATTAGCCAATTAGTGATGTGGGTAATTGATATACATCCGTGCTCATTTCTCGAACACATTTTCGTCACGTTCTGTGCAGTGATTGAAATCCGCTATTTTATACTCACATACATATAACGAGCATACTCACATAACTGTTAGTTTAAACATCAAGTTTTATCTAAAAAGCGTTTAAATTTAATTAAATTAATTTAACTAATTAAATTAAATTAATTGAATTAATTACGAGCACACCTTATTACTTCCACCGTAATATTATTATATATGATATATGAAACATATTACTCACCTAAATGTCCACCAAATATCGAAACATGTCACATTTAGCCAAAAAAAACTCGCCAAAAAGAAGAAGTTCAAGATATATGCTGAAAAGATAAAATTAAATAATATGTTAATCATCAAGCATATATTAGAATGATAATTATTTATAGTTTATAATTATTACTATTTGTGAGATTTTCTTGATCTGCATATCTACAGCATTGCAAAGTAAAAAAAAGTGAATTTTATTCAAATTAAATGCTTTACTGTATAATTTCTCTATTTAAACCAGAAAATTATCTACATGCAGAAATGCGATCCAAACACGAAGTCGACTAAAAGTCGACTATAAGTTGACCGAATGTCAACTAATAGTCGACTAATATTTGACGAATATCTCAAAAAAAGTCGACTAACAGTCGATATTCTAATATCGCCTTACGGTTTAGAATGTCGACTTAGTCTGTGTCAACTGGAAACGACTATGCCAACTATGCCGACTGGAAAAAAGTTGACAAACAGTCACTCGTTTGAGGAGTTATTGTGTACGTAATGTATAATTCAAGATTTAAATATTTGTTAAATATGATTTTATATTATTATATTATTAATACAAAAAAAATGGTTTAAATAAACAAAGCGATACGGAACGGTTTCCTGATCTTTATCTCCCTCTCCTTGAGCAATAGTTTCCAGCCCCATTCTAAACTCTACCCCTTTCTTTCCCTTTTCTTATCCTTCCTTTTTCCTTTTTCCTAATATAAATAGACCAGCATTTTTTGGCTTTGGCATTATTGCAGTTTACATTCACTCGTTACCTAAAATTGTCACAGTGGTCAGTTATACAGAGGAGTCTTCGCACCCCAGGATACACGTAAGTTTGTTCAGTTGGTTTTTCAAAAGGATAAAGAAAATTTTTTTAAATAACTCTCGAGGTTGAATTTAAACAGGAGCATATTGTGTCTGATTGTTTTGTACAAAAATACAACAATAACTAATTTACTTGTGGAAAAAATTTTTTTACAATAGAACTTGATACTTGCGTGTCTCTTTGTGTGGGGCTCGTCGTTTTTTTAAAAATGAAGAATTCTTAATTATATATATTAGGAAAGAAAAAAACTTTTGTAATTAATTTCTTTCTATTCATATAGCGCGACAATAATTAACTGTTACTGTAATCTACTTCGATCGATTGCGATTAATACTGTATCATAAGGAAATAATAATTTTTACTAGCTATCACTACATTTATCAGTTGATTTGTGTATTTAGTTTTAATGTTTAACGTATTCAATTTTATTGTATTGAAGAGGGTCAAATCTTAACCGAAACGTCTACTTATTGTTATGTGAAATTGTTTTTAAATAATATATAACTTATTTACATCCTTAGTCGTGGCTGTATGCTCTTTATTATTTAACCTTTGTAAATTTCTTAGCCACTTTCTAACAATTTAAAATTTTATATTATTTATTCTTTTAAAAATTTAATAATTTCCATTTTATTGAATTATTAGAAAGACAGAAATACGTACAGGTATATCTAGACTACTAATTTTATATGTATATAAGCTACACATTATTGCATTATTATATCATTCCCAGACTTACTTTAAAAGTATCACAACTTAAAAAAATGTTACTTTTTAGTTATTATTATGAATAAATTAGATAAAGATTACTCTATTAATTATCAAAAGTAAACACTAACTTAACAGTTTGTTGCCAAATAGCACTTATGGTGTGTTTCTCTCTGAAGGGGATTCTAAACCGAAGCTCGAACTCCAACGAAGTCACTAGAGGTCGCGCCGCGCGCCGCGCATGTTTTTATATACATACTACTATATCAATATCTCACGCAACCTTATCATGCAGTCGCTTATTTATGTCAATTTTCGTATAACAAATTTGTCGCGATAAAGCGTCCAAGTCTAATTCTAAGAATTCGACGTTATTTGTTCGTATAAACTACGTATCTGAAAATCATTATTCTATACGCGCAAGTTGCAAAGCATTAATTTCAAGCAAATGTTGTCATTATCAACTTGATAGCTGAGACGCCATGTTTCATTAAGAAATAGTAGAAAATATATCAATTTTGAAATTTTTAATCGTTCTAGGCGTACACTCCATTTCTCAGACACGTATTAATGCATATACTTCAATCCTGGAAAAGGATTTTCGAATCGGTGAAAGAGAAAAAAGTATTTGTTATACAAAAATTACATGATTTAGTCGGTAAAACAAGCGGCTTTAGAATCCTCTTAAGATCTTTAAAAAAATTATAATCACCTTCTAAAAGAGTACATATTTTGAGTTGTACTATTTTTGTAAATAAAAAGAGAATCTTTTACAAAAAATATTTAGAATTAAAACAGTTTTAGTAATCGAAATTTGAAGAAATTGTTTTATTTTGAATGTAATCATTTTTAGAGCTGATCAAGATAAATATTAAAACTCATGATAAATATAAAAAATTAATAATTTTTTGAGTTATGTCAGTTTTGATAAATTATTTGTATTTGTATAATCGTAACAATTCGTATTTGTATTTTATAGGACATCAAAATCTTCACAACTTAAAAAGGAAATAAACAATAAGAATCTTATTTTAGTCCGTACTTGTGAGAACACAATCAACATGAATTAGAAATTAAATGTCT